TGAAATTTTGAAAAAGCCTTCCTGGAGTAACTTTTTCTGCACAGCTCATCGTTTTGGCCCATTCTACACACATTCCAACCATCCAACTTGTGCCAGGGCACCTTATTTTTCTAACCCTAACCCTATCCTCGTGCACACCCCTAACCCTAATATAGGGCTAAAATTCCCTTGGAAATAATGTGATTTTGAAAAAGCCTTCCTGGAGTAGCTCTTTCTGCACTGCTCATCATTTCTGCCCATCCCAAGCATATTCCAACCATCAAAATCATGCCAGGACACCTCATTTTTTTAAACCTAACCCAGTGATGGTGAACCTTTTAGAGACCAAGTGCCCAAATGCAACCCAAACCCCACTTATTTATTGCACAGTGCCAACACTGCAATAAAACTGAAAACTGATGTTTTCTTTTAGAAAAAAACAACTCACAGCCAGTCCAAGCAAACATATATATATCTTTGGCCGCACACTGTCCTGCCATGAGAAAGCTCCGCAGAGTAGCGGCTAATGAGTCGTGGCTCGTGACGTCATCACCTTGCGCCACAACTCCTTTCCGAGTATGCGCATGGCTCCTATGTGCACTGTTATGCTCGGCTGCTGGGGCGATGCTGCTTGGCTCGTGTGCCAACAGATAGGGTGCCATAGTTTTGCCACCACTGCTCTAGAGAAAGCAGTTGATCTTTCTTTCAAAGAACAAAGAGATTTTTTATCAATCTTTCCAAAGACAGAGACAATGGATTTTAAGAAAGTTAAAAAGAGGCATCACTTCCCAGTTTCCATTAAGTACACATTTCTTTTATCCCTGTTTACCTCTTTTTCAACAGAATATGTAGGTTTTTGAAATAGCAAATCCTGCAAAACCTATTTATCCATGGCAACAGAAGGCTGTTCATACACGCTGCAAGCAAAAATCTCCCCTTCAAACTGCTTTCAAATAGCAGTTGCCTTATTTGGAGAATGGATTTTAGCCTTGATCCATTGATGGGCACCAGCAGCAATATTTCCTCCAGCTGCTTCACCTGTACCCACTTGACACTGCAAATGCTGGAGAGGGGTCCACTTGGGGGTCCTGAAGGCCCTTTGGGCTGCAAAGACTGGCAGGAGCTTGGGCAAGCCAAGTACAATTCAGATGTTCCTTTTTCTACACAATGTTCATATCCACCACCTGAGCTTTGGATGGGCCATTTCAACATTCACAGATGCATGCCAAACTTAGTTTTGAGCTAGGTTGGGTTTTTTCCTTCTATTTATTAGTTTGCATAAATCCTGACAGCAGTGAGTCTTTCACTGTTGGCTGGTTAACTGCATGAATTTCAGCCAGTTGATTAATAGGTCAAACCTGCATGTCTTTCCAACAATAGTAATGACTAGAGAAAATACCCTGGTCTTATTCTTATGGTCCCTCTCGTCCAGGGTGCAAAGCTGGCTGGAACACAAGGCAGAAGCTTTTCAGTGGTGGCCCCCTACCTTATAGAATCAATGACCCTCTGGAAGGCATCATAGTTTTACCCTATGGGTACTTTGTAACCATTGCAAAAATGTCATGGGTGACTTCTTGGCGTGGAAGTTTTGGTACCATGCTATGACTGGTAACTAAATGATTTCATGAGCCTGAAAAGAAATGTGGATGAAGACTTGTTATCTCTGATCAGTTGCCACAGCAAACAAGTTTGCCTGTCGGGGCCTAGATTCCATGGAGGAGAAACTGCCCATCCTTCAACAGACAGCTGTTCAGGTGGGTGCTACCTAGCCTCCAGGTGCTACTAGGAAGTGTGCGCTGGGTCTCTGCCAAAGGAGGAACGGCCCTCTTCAGGGGACCCTCCCAGACCATCCTTAGACACAATTTCATTCGTGGACCAAACTGGTGGTGGTAGACGCCTTCAGAGTCAAGGGGGTGCAGCAATCACTCCCCTGCCCCACTGCCCCTTTGCGTGAAAACAAAATACAAGGGGTCTTCAAAAAGTTTCCACAGTTTTTTAAACTCTATTTATTAAGAATTTCAAGAACAAATCGCATCACTTTTCTACATTGTCACCTTCCTTTGTGATGCACTTTTCCTGGCGTCATACCAACTTTTTAATGCCATCAGCAAAAAATATATAACAATTTATATAAATATAAAAGAGCAGCAACCCTTGGAAATGTGTGTTCAGTAAGGCTCCATAGCCACCACAGAAGATTACTAAGGATAAATGTAGCTAGACCACAAGATAAATTTGTGTTTAGGAAGCTTCTCTGTAGTTTGTCCCTTATCTCCCCACCCCATACCACAAAGATAATTTAGCTATATAGCTACATATAAACATGATGTCAGTAAATATATATATAGAGAGAGGGGGGATGGAAAAAGCAGGAGATGGTGGCAAGGTCACTGCTGTGACTGTTAGTTGTGGGTCAATCCATGGTAACAATGCATAGTTTCCAAATGGAGTCAACCAATGCAAAGGCTTGAGATTTGGAGCTAGCCCTTAAAACATATGATCTAGGGCCTCCCCAGACAATGATATGTGTGTGAAGCTGTATGGTTACAAAAGAAGAAAGGAGACCCCTCTGCTGTGAACTGTAGCAAAGGTAACTCCTGGTTCAGCGGACGATAAATGAAGATGGCTGCCGTCTTCCGAAGTAACCTGTCTTCTGACTCTCGTAGGTTGTCTCTGATACAAGAGAGCTGATGTCCTCCAAAGTCACAGGTGCCAAGAATGCTGTAACGAACAGGTTGACTGGAGTGGTTGGTATGACCAAAGATGCCATGCAGGGTGGAGTGAAGACCACGGCATCCATGGTGACCAGCAGCATGAGCCTGGTGATGGGAACACGAGTGGGGCAGATGGCCAGGAACAGCGTGGAAGCAGTCCTGGACACGTCCCATGCGTTTGTGGACCACTATCTCTTCATCAGTGATGAAGATACGAGTAAGAACTCAACCAAGGGCTTGCTTCGTCCATAGCATTTGGACGGTTCAGGGTCTTAAGGACACGGCCAAATAGAGCAAATGCCATGAAAGGGGATTTTGATTGACACTGGTGGGAACTCCGACAGTATAGCTTCCAGGCCTGAAATGCCTGATCCTGCCTAATCTTGGAAGCTAAGCAAGGTCAGACCTGGTTGAAATCTGGAGAGCTTCAGCTACAGACAGTATATGTTATGTTATGTTAGTCGCGAAGTTGTGTCCAACCCATCGCGACCCCATGGACAACATTCCTTCAGGCTCTCCTGTCCTTCACCATCCCCCGGAGTCCACCTAAGCTCACAGTGACTGCTTCAGTGACTCCATCCAGCCACCTCATCCTCTGCCGTCCCCTTCTCCTTTTGCTTCAATTGTTCCCAGCATCAGGCTCTTCTCCAGGGAGTCCTTCCTTCTCATTAGCTGGCCAAAGTGTTTGAGTTTCATCTTCAGTATCTGGCCTTCTAAAGAGAAGTATAGAAAGTATACAGACAATATAGAAATGTAATAATAGGAGTAGGAGTAACAACAACAACAACAACGAGCTGCTTCACAACAGAAGAGACAGCCTTGGGAGGTGGTATCTTCAGAGATGCTACAGTACTGAACTCCCTTCATCACCACTGGGGGGCACCAGATGACATCAAGGGTTGGGTTGCTGGACATGAGTAGTCAGTGTTGCCAGCCATATTTTAGGGAGTAAATTCCAGCTCTAGGATCCTGTGCTTCACATTTCCTGTTTCCAGTCCTATCATTCATGCCTAAAGTGGGGACTCTTGTATTAGTGAAGGAGAGCCATGGGTAATTCTCTGCACCCCATTTCTCCAGCCCATGATATTTTGATAGTCTTACCAAAACTATTTTGGCTTCCTTCAGAATCTTCCAAGTTTTCTTCCTAAAACATGCAACTCCCAGTTGTCAGGAATCAGGGATCACTCAATGGCAAGAACCATCTCCAGAAAAAGAAATACACTCCTGTCTCCATTCTCCATCACCACCTGAGAGCACTTTCTGAAGAATAAAGCAGCCCCTGGGAATATCTGTATTGCCATCCCCGATAAAAGAGGGTGAGGATGCACAGAGAATCTGGCGAATGGTTAGCTAATATCTTCGGGTCGTAGTTCACTCTCCCTCTGCTGGTTCCATTGGGTTTGCAGGTCTTACCACTTGTGTCACAGGGCCTTGGTATTTCAAAAGCGGCCCCTAGAAATGCCCCATTTTATGAGGGGTGGGTCCTCCAAGGGAATTGGCAGAGGGAGGCTCTACCCGTGGATTCCAACAACTCGCCATTGTACACGTAGAACTGGAAGGGCTCCACTGCCTTCAGCTGCTACTCTGCTCTCTTACCATACTTTGCAATTGTATTATTTTTTCCAGTTGAACTCAGTGCATGTTATGAAGACAGAGTGAAGCAACCCACGCAGCAAGTGCAGGCACGGGTCGGGTGCGAAGGTCACGTGGTTTGTTTGCTTTCCCTGCTGAACAAATTCCACCGCTATGCGTCCAAGTGGTCGAGGCACCTCCTGCAGCACTCCAGCCAGAGCCTCCAAAGGGCCCTGGAAAACTGCTATGTGGTACAGGCCCGATTTCTTCCTCTTCTTTCTCTATTGTGCTTTGCTTTTGGTTGGAAGAAAATGATTACTTTCCTAAAAACTATTCAGTGAAGCTGAAATGATCCTTGGATTAGCCTCAGTACACAAGAAGAGAGTGTTTGCGCGTGTGCGCGAGCACGCGCAAGAGAGAGAGATTTTACACTTCATCTTTTGTCCTCTCAAGAACTTCATGGTGGCCTAGGGAAGAATTTGCTCATCACTGCTAGCTCATTCAGTGTCAAGATGAAAACAACCACATGGTCTCTCCGCTGTGATGGTCCAGAAAGGGTGGATCACCAGCTTTAGAGAGAGGGAAACATCCTCATTTCTTACACATGAGTTAAGAAGAGTAGGCAACCTGTGATCCTTTGGATGCTTTGACCTACAACTCCCCTCAGCCTGAGCCAACACAGTCAATAGCAAGGGATGATGGGACCTGCAGCCCAACCACCTCTGGAACGTCACAAGTTGCCCACCCTTGGGTTCAAGGAAGGGGATTGTTTCTGAAGGTGCACGCAGCTGCCTTGTTCTGATTAGCACAGGTGTTCAGAGCCACCCTAACTCTCTGGGGCTCCCCAGAAGATCTGCCACTGTCACCAGCCACCACTGATGAAGTGGTTTCCTGGCTTGTGTGCCATTTTTCTTCTTTCTGAAAGGTTGCAATGCCCCTCCTAAGGCTTGCAAATTGACAGGAAGAGCTATATGTCTAAATACACTGATATTTTGGCTCTTCCCCTTTTGCCTTTGGCCCTTCCCAGTATTATAACACACCCTTCTCCTCAGCTTCCTGGAAACAGAATTTGGCACCTGCTCAGAAGGAAGTTCTGCACCTCTGCTTTAGTCCCGGAACTCTCTTAGAACTTTTGTCTAAGGCCTCCAGTGGCAAGTTGTTCCACACCCTCCTACCTTAGGGTTTTTTGTTTGTTTGTTTGTTTGTTTGTTTGTTTGTTTTTTGCTTAGGGGATTGAAGCAGGCATCATCTGCATGTGAGAATGCACTCTGCTAATGAGTGGAGGTCCTTCTCCCAGGAAACAAAGTACACACCCAGTGCAGTGCTGTATCTCTGCCCTACACCAGCAACTTGCTCATGAGAAAAGGTCCACTGGACTCATTTGCCACAAGCAGAGGCTGACAGTTTTGCATCCGGTTCAAAGAAAGTCTCTTTCACTTCTGTTGCAATGAATCATTTGGCTGGCCCATTTCCAATAAGGGGAGATCAGCTGTAAGCTAGGATGGTGCATTTCCCGGGGGGCCTGGTCCAGCCAAGGCCCCTGCCTTTATGTGTAGGTCATTAAATAGAAACTTGGAATCTGGATACAGCTTACAGGTGTCCACTTAGTTGCAGGCTCTCTGCTGCAATGGACGTTGCTCGTGGGGCACTAGCTGTTTGGCCATTTGTACGTTCTTGTGCTCATGTGAAAGCCAGCTAGGCAGGCTAGTAAACCAAGGACTGGACAGACACTTGTCTCCTTTCCCTTGCATCAGAGGCTGTCAGTAGGCCAGAAACAAAGTGAGGTATCAGTAAGGCAAACAGTGGCCTTTCTCACAGCAAAAGCACTCCTTATCTATTCTATACCACATAATCAGGACACCCTCCTTCGTCAATTATCTTCCTATCTCGTACAAGCAGAAGCTACACATAAGACTCCGAAGTGGCTCCAAGAAACTAGGATAGTTTCTGGGCACTGCAAATGTTTATTATACTGGCCATTTAACTTCTTTGCCATTCGTTCACTGAAGCCATCCAGGCTGGGTGTGCTTTCTGTGTTTTGGATGCTGCAGTGGACAAGGTCAAAACCCATAGGAGTCTGTGCTGTGAGGGAAGCAAGAAAGCAGGCCTGGGGTCCAAGAAAGTGCAAAGATTCCTGCACATTCATGCAACTAGCAATGGTGTTAATATGGGAGAGGGGATTATGTACATGACAGCCAGGATTGTGTTGGCGGTGCTGGAATTCAGTTGTCAACCATCTGGGTGCGGAGGGAACATCCTAGCCAGCTCCTTTATGTTTTAACAGCAGCTCAATAGGTCAATAAAGCATGCAGGTAAATGCTATCACCTGCCTGCAGTTAAAGGCACAACAAGCTAGGCTGCTGAAAAAGTTGGCAACCTTGATCTGGTATATACCTTACTTACTGTGCCTAGACTTATCTTTAAATGGGGGAAGGACATGTAGCTTAGTGATGGAGCATGGGCTGAGCTCAAGAGCTGCAGCCCTCCAGAATCAGTCCCTAGCATCTCCAGGGAGGGCCGGGAAAGACTTGAACCTGAAACCCTGGAGAACAGGTGCAAGTCAGCACTCACCTAGAGGGCCCAGGGGTCTGACTTGCTATTAGGCAAATTCCTTTGTATCTCAGGATATCTCTCAATGCACATTTGCACATTTGCATTTCAGGAATGGAAGGGGTGGCTAATTGCCTTGCACTGCACAATCATGCTTCCCCTGAGGACTATCTACTTGCTCATTGTGTTTACCATTGAAGAACTATCGGCCAAGTTTTCCGACAATGTCCCCCAAGCCTCTTACATCTTCAAGGAACTCCAGTTGGCACTCTCCACTCTCGATTGCTTCCAGGATCTCTGCCAAAGGATCTTTACCCGCGTGTGGGAAAAAATGCTGGAGGAGGAGAACTTGAATGTGCTACTGAACTACATGGCGCAAATGCTTCCCTTTTGCTTCTTTGCAAACCGCTCCAAGTGTAGGGCCTCCGTGGGCAACACCATACGGGCTCTGAAGGCCATGCAAAAAGCACAGGCATCGAGAGACAGCCTCACTGGACTGCAGGAACCCAATGGCAACGTGGCAATGGCCACCTGAGCCCTGGTCTCGCTCCCCTATACATGATCCCAGTGTCCAGTGTGGGCATTTGGACATTTTAAGGGGCTCAGCTTTTAGATTAGATGCTCAGGCAAGAGCAGCCTTGCAGTAAATTAGTGAATAACAACCTCTGTGTGTCTTTTTCTCTCATTCCGTCTACTGAACCCTGGAAACCCAAAGAAGCTGATTCTTCCTGTATGTTGGCAGAAGGGCTAAAGAACCACGGCAGAGCTCTGTGTTGCAGGATTCTGGCTCTGAGAAAAGGTGATGCCAGAGACTAAGAAGAGCTGGGCTGGTCCAGAGCAAGGGTCTGCCTGGTCCAACGTTCTGTTTGCAGCATGGCCAACAGGCAGCCGGTGGAGACCCACAAGCAAGGCACAAGTGTGCATGTTAAAAGGTGCTGGCCACTCCTCTCCTTGCCACATTGAGGGTGGGTTGGATCTCTGACAGAGCAGTTAGTCAACGTATAAAGGTCTACTCAAGGTAGCAAACAAGTGAACCTATTTGATAAATACCTTTATCAGGTACGCCTTTATTCTGCCTTAACATACATGGGATTGCACCTGAATGAGCTCAATTTAACCAGTGTGGCCTCTCCAAAGAACCCCAGGAACTGACAATCTGTTTGAGACTCCCCTTCCTTTCAGAGTTGCACTTCCTACAATGATATTGACAAAGAAAATTAAAGCAACATCCTCCAGATGTTGGATTGGAAGGCCCCTGCAAAGCTGTTTATCTTGCCCTGAGAAACACTGTTTAGGTGACAGTCAGCTATTTCCAGGGTAGCACAGTGGATTTATTCCTAAGCCTTCCAAGTCTCCAAACCAAACCAAACCTTTAGTTGCAGCTGTTCAGCAGATGAGAACCCTTCAGTGTAAATTCCTGCAAGAATGAATATATTTTGTTGTACTGAATGTTAGCTTACGAGAAAGGTGAGGAGAGAGAGACATGATAGAGGGGCACAAAATTTGTACCATTTCTTTATTGCTAAATATGTTTTTCCATATAAATATCAAGTTTAACATTAAAATTGCCTTTAAAATAAAATGTTAAAACATGCAATAACAACATAGCGCAATACAGGAGCAGTACAATGGAACAGCACAATTAATTACTGGCCAGAGAAAGTCTGGGTAAAGACAGGACACATTTTGCCTCCCAAACTGCAGGAAGGTTTTTCTATGGGGTGGGTGCCACCACGGACTATAATTGGGTAATCTGGGAATGACCAGCAAGGCTGCCTCCTCCAATGGTCTTACTAATCAGTTGAGCATGTATTAATCTCGCAACTGTTAATAAGTTTCTTATTAATTCTTCACTATTCCAACTCCATTGTTTCCCATCAAATATTGACAGTAACATGAACTCAATACATGCTTCAATATTTAAACTTAATAGTTTACTACTCTCTTTAAAAGCCTCTTCCAAAATTTCATTATATATTCACATTCCTACCACCAATGCTAATATGTGCCCACTCCACAATCACATCTCCAACATAAAATGGAGTATTTGCTATCTATATGATTCAACTTTACAGGGGTTAAGTACCATTTCCATACTAATTTATTTAAAAAATCCTTTATTTGGCATAAAGAGCAGTATTAGAAGGGGGACAAATAACTTGGTTTAATGTGATCAAACTAGAATGTTAGACTAAAGTTTGATTGAAGATAAAGGTGGATGTAAGGGATAGTAAGTAAAATGTATTAGACATAATTAGAAGATGAGGATCAATATGACCCACTTAAAGCAATATGGGAATAGATTTGAGAAAGAATATTAGTAATGATGACTGGGAAAGTATCTGGACTAAGAAAATATTAAAATTATGTCGGTAAGAACAGTCTTCTCAAGGCTAAACATGCCCAGTTCTTTCAACCTCTCCTCATATGGCTTTGTTCCCAGTCCCGGGATCATCCCTGCTGCCCTCCCCTGAACCCTTCCCAGCTGGTCTGCATCTTTCTTCAGCCGTGGGGCCCAGAACGGGGCACAGGACTCCAGACGAGGCCTCAACAGTGCTGTGTAAAGGGGAACCAGTACTGTGGGGGATTTGGAAGTGATACTTCTATTAATGCAGCCTCAAATAGCACTAGTTCTTTTTGCAGCCATATCCCATGCCACCTGCATTCCTCATTAAAAAAAAAAAAAACAATTTATGCAACAGTGGCACTTCTGCAGAGGTCAGAAAGCCCGCACAATTTTAAAAGTCCACATGCACACCCTCTCGTGCTCCAGCTTTATTCTTGCAGGGCCAGGGTGACCGTCTGTGTGGGTATCAGCCCCCACCGTCTTTGCTCTCCAAGGGGCCCAGGACGGGTGGGAAGCGGGTCGAAGGCACGGGAGGGTCTCCGCTCGCGCGCCGCGGACGAGGCGAAGCCCCACTTCTGCCATCAGGGCTCAGTCTGGGGAGTTCGGGCGTGCCGACCAACGGTTTCCATGAGGGCTGGAAGGAGCAGTGGAGGGGAAGAGGCGATCTGGTGCCTGCACCGCAAGGGGGGGGGGGGGTTCGGCTCTGCTGCCCCAGGAGCTGCAGACTCCGGCGGCCAAGCCAGGCGCCCCCTTCGCTCCCCGGTGCCCACCGGCTCCTCCGCTGCTTTCCCGCGGGGACAGAGCCAGGCCGGGCGATCAGGCGCGGAGAAGCGCGGGTAGGCGGCCTTTGCCCCGGGCACATGATCCGCGAGCATGGCCGCCGCCTTCGTGGAGCTGAGCACCAAGGCGAGGATGCCCCTCGTCGGGCTCGGCACTTGGCAGGTGCGTAGGTCAGTTTGCACTCTGACGTGCAACTGATGCGAAAGGTCTCGTCTACACTTCATTGCCTGGCAGAGGAAGATTTCGGCAGCTTGCGGGAAGGGAGGAGTTCGCCTCCCCAAAGGCAGCCCCCTCAAATTCGCCCCATGTGCGGCCTTTAGAGCGGGGCTGCGCTGCGAATCCGTCCATTGGGACCAGTGGAATCTCAGGGCTCCTGGAATACACCCCGGGCTCAGGGGGATACCTATGGGGCCAAGCCTAGCAATGCCCCCCGCTGTCTCCACTCTCATGCCGTATACGAACAGCGAGCCAAGTCCCCCTGTATAGTTCCGTGTGTAGCCAACAGAGGGCAAAGTGGGAGGAAACCGCAGGCTTGGCTGGCCAAAGTAAGGGAAAAAAACCATCAGGGGAAAATGTGCCAAAGGAAGAATATCACAGAATCAAGAAGAGCCCAATCCAAGATAGTGCGGAGGTGGGGCTGAAATGGAGTGTTTTGTGAGCGGGCATGGCTGGCAGGAA